TAGTGGATTCTGGAGCCACTTACACAGAGCCCAGTCCAATGACAAGGCAGGGCAATTCTGACCTGGCTAGAACCCCTGACCATCATTGCAATAGGGGCCTCCCCCAGAGGACTGGCAGGAACATCCCTCAGGCGTGAAGTTTACCCATCGTAGAGAACTGCAAAGTTTTAGCTCTTGGGGGAAACAGTATATAGTATTTGTTGGGTTTTTAATTTTTTATTCTTTAGTCCCTTGGCATTTTTTTCAGCTATTTCCTTCTTCTTTCAATTCTTTTTTATTCTTTTTAAATTTTTATAATATAAACATATACATTCTATACATATAATTTTTTGTTTCCTTTCATTGTATTTTATTTCAGTTTTGGATATATGTAGGTTTTGCTTTCTTTCCTATTTCAAGATCTAGTTTCCTTTAACAAGCAAACCAAAACACAACCAAGATCTAGTTGTTTGTTTTGTTTCTAGTTTGATTTTTTCTTTTGTTCTGTGTCTGTTTTTTTTTTCTGTTGTTTTTGTTATTGTTGTATTTTGTCTTTCTTTATTCTATTCCTTTCTCGACAAAATGATGAGACAGAGATATTCACCCTAAAAGACAGAACAGGAGGTAGTACTCACTGCCAGGGATTGAATCAATGTGGATATAAAATAGATGTTTGAAGTAGAATTTAAAACAATGATTATAAAGATACTAGCTGGGACTGAAAAAGCATAAAAGACACTAGACAATCCCTACCTGTAGAATTCAAAGAACTTAAATCTAGTTAGGCCAAAATTTAAAATGCTATTATGGAGATGCAGTCCCAAAGGGACACTCCAAAAGTGAGAATAAGTGAGGCAGAAGAAAGAGTCAGTGATATAGACAATAAAATGAAGGAAAATAAGGAAGCTGAAAAGAAAAGAAAAAGACCACTACTGAATCTCAAATGGAGACATCGAGATCTTAGTAATTCCATAAGTGAAATAATATGCAGATAATAGAGGTCCCAGAAGGCAAAGAGAAGGAGAGGGGCAGAAGGTTTCTTTGAACAAATTATAGCTGAGAACTTCCCTAACTGGAGAACAGAAACAGACATTCAAGTCCAGGAGGCCAGAGAACCCCCCCCTCAAAATCAATAAAAATAGGTCAACACCTCCACATATAATAGTGAAACTTGCAAATTCCAAAGATAAAGAGAAAATCCTCAAAGGGCTAAAAGGTTAAGGACAAGAGGTCCTTAACCTACCAGTGCAGAAACATAAGGCTGGCAGCGGGGCTGTGCACAGAGACCTGGCAGGCCAGAAAGGACTGGAAGGATATATTCAGGGAATAATAAATGGGAAAAACATGCAGCCAAGAATACTCTGTCCAGCAAGGCTGTTATTCAGAACACAAGGAGAGAGAGAGTTTTCAGGACAAACAAAAACTAAAGGAACTTATGAACACTAAACCAGCCCTGCAAGGAATATTAAAGGGGATCCTTTGAGTAAAGAGAGAGCCCCAAAATAACAAAGACCAGAAAGGAACAGAGACAATCTACAGGAACCACTATTTTACAGGTAATACAATGACACCAAATTCATATCTTTCAATAGTTACTCTGAATGTAAATGGACTAAAGGCCCCAGTCAAAAGACACAAGGTAACAGACTGGATAAAAAAGCAAACCCATTGATATGCCATCTGCAAGAGACCTATTTTAGTCCCAAAGTCACCTCCAAATTGAAAGGGAGGCACTGGAAAACCATTTATCATGTGAGTGGATTGAAAGAAAGCTGGATCCTTATACCAGAAAAATTAGATTTCAAACCAAAGACTGTAATAAGGGATTAGAAAGACATTATATCATAATTAAAGGGTCTGTCCAACAAGAAGATCTAACAATTGTAAATATCTATGCCCCTTACTTGGGAGCAGTCAGTTGTATAAGTCAATTAGTAACAAAATTAAAGAAACAGATCAATAATAACACAATAATA